CTACACCGGCCCTAAACCCCACCTCTTCCTCCGTTACATTGATGACTATATCGGCGCCACCTCATGCTCCCACGAGGAGCTCGAACAGTTCATCCATTTCACTAACACCTTCCACCCCAACCTTAAGTTCACCTGGACCATCTCTGATACCTCTCCCCTTCCTGGACCTCTTTGTCTCCATATCGGACAACCACCTAGAAACCAATATTCATTTCAAGCCCACCGACTCCCACAGCTACCTAGAATACTCCTCCTCCCACCCACCTTCCTGCAAAAATGCTATCCCCTATTCCGAACTCCTTCGCCTCCGCCGCATCTGCTCCCAGGATGAGGCATTCCACTCCCGTACATCTCAGTTGTCCTCGTTTTTCAAGGACCGTAACTTCCCCCTCTCAGTGGTCGAGAAAGCCCTCAACCATGTCTCCCACATCTCCCGCAACTCATCCCTCACACCCCGTCCACGCAATAAGAACCAAAAAAGAATCCCCCTTGCCTTCACGTACCACCCCACCAACCTCCGGATCCAACGCATCATCCTCCGACACTTCCGCCATCTGCAATCCGACCCCACCACCAAAGACATCTTTCCCTCCCCACCCTTATCTGCTTTCCGGAGGGACCACTCTCTCCGTGACTCCCTTGTCCGCTCCACACTCCCCTCCAGCCCCACCACACCCGGCACTTTTCCCTGCAACCGCAGGAAGTGCTACACCTGTCCCCATACCTCCTCCCTCACCCCTATCCCAGGCCCCAAGAAGACTTTCCACATCAAGCAGATGTTCACCTGCACATCTGCCAATGTGGTATACTGCATCCGCTGTAGCCGGTGTGGCTTCCTCTACATCGGGGAAACCAAGCGGAGGCTCGGGGACCGCTTTGCAGAACACCTACGCTCGGTTCGCAATAAACAACTGCGCCTCCCAGTCGCGAACCATTTCAACTCCCCCTCCCATTCCTCAGACGACACGTCCATCCTGGGCCTCCTGCAGTGCCACAACGATGCCACCCGAAGGTTGCAGGAACAGCAACTCATATTCCGCTTGGGAACCCTGCAGCCCAATCGTATCAATGTGGATTTCACAAGCTTCAAAATCTCCCCTCCCCCTACCACATCCCAAAACCAGTCCAGCTCGTCCCCGCCTCCCTAACCTGTTGTTCCTCCCACCTATCGCCTCCTCCCACCTCAAACCGCACCTCCATCTCCTACCGACCAACCTCATCCCGCCCCCTTGACCTGTCCGTCCTCCCTGGACTGACGTATCCCCTCCCTAACTCCCCACCAACACTCACCTTTACTGGCTCCATCCCAGCCTCTTCGACGTGTTTGTTTCCTCTCCACCTATCTTCTCCTCTATCCATCTTCCATCCGCCTCCCACTCTCTTCCTATTTATTTCAGAACCCCCCTCCCCTCCCCCTTTTCTGAAGGCCCGAAACGTCAGCATTTCTGCTCCTATGATGCTGCTTGGCCTGCTGTGTTCGTCCAGCCCTGCACCTTGTTGTCTCTATATATTCGATACTCATGTTTCAGGTTAAAGTTGTCCAAATTAATTTTAATTAAAATTCAAATTCTTTGAGTTTTACTTGCATCTCTGTTCAATCACATTTTTATGTTCATTAAACGACAATTCTTATACATTCATCATTTGATGTACTCTTGGACAAAAAAAACCCAAAGCCAACCAAAAGGGGTTTGGATCAGCCATACAAGTTAAAAATAAGTGCACATTAATATCGTGTCAGACAGCATAAATGGGCACTCCTTCAAAAATTAGAGGCACAACCAAAGAAATCCATGTACAAAATCTTGAGCAAACACCAAGTTATAATCATTATACTTTTGTTGGAGAGCTATATCTTACCTGTTCTGTCATATGACTGATGACAGGTGTGAGCAATTTCTGCACCAAGCTGCAGATAATGACCTGCTTTATCATCTGGGGACCCATCTGCTCCTAAAGCAAACATTCCTCCAGCAAAACAGGTTAGGTGGCCCATTTTCCTCTCCAGATGACCATTCTTCCATTCCCCAATAAAAGTCAAGCCAGTGTTTGACTTCCTGATCAAATGCTTTTCAATAGCCTGCCAAAAATTTAAACACTAAAATTAAAAGATTAACAATGCACTGTTACAAATTTCAGGCTGTCTTGGATATTCTCGCAGATTCAATGTCAGTCATTCTGAAAAAATGGTCTGAATGTCTTAACTTCAGGAATATATCAACATTGCTCAAAATACAACGTAACATAAATAGCTTCTATTGTCGAGTCTCAAAGTTATCACTAAAACTGGCTATTGTGCCAATTGACTTAGAAACAATCAGCAGTTAGATGAGTCGTTTCAGTTGAAACAGCAAATGAATAAAATACCACAGCTGTAACAAAATCTCTCACACCAATTCACATCTGTTCATCCTTACTATTAAGAAAAACAGCAGCTCGGTTATGTTCCAATTAGTGAGCCAAATATAATAACTTTTAGTCCATCTTAGCACTGAGTAAAACCAGTGCATATTTAGGTCATGGCTATCTTTGTTCTCAAAGTCATCTCCCTGAAAATTATTGGAAAACTTCTAACTAGATTCTCCCAAATGACTTCTCAACGTGTGAGACTCAGTTATCTTACTTCCCGACATGTGGTCAGTTTTGACTTGATTCCCAATCATATTTTTATGGGTGGTGGCCGAAGAGCTGCTTTTCAAAATTGCTTCTATTTCCCATCCATCTGAAACCAGCTTCAAATAAGAATATTTCAGTGTTATTGTTTGCTGACAGCACCCGAATTGATGTCTCACTCATCATGGGCAACAGTTTTAATGTATGGCTCATCAACGCATCAATTCCCTCTATCCCAGTTTCAAGTTCGAAAGGTTTCTAAATTGGCAAACTTCACTTGAAATTAAAATTTAAACTAATATTATTGGAGTCCGCTAAGTGAAGATACACTGTGGCACCAATTGTGTCCAGTTCTTTTTGAACCAACATTTTAAGTTTGCAATTACAGATGATAACAGCTTCTAAGTCCATAACTCAAGGAGTATGCTAAATATTAATCACAATATCCTCGTAATTTTGAGACATGCTATCTCAAAATAGGTTGATACAGATTTAATTAACCCTAACCATCACAGGATACTCTGCAATATAGCTACTCAACAGAACATTGGTGAAACTGGCCTTTCACTTATACTGCAACCTGTAAATTAGTCTGTCATAGTAATTGTCTTAATACAAGTGCATACTTTTGCTGTAAAAATTATAACTTTGGACTTTACACAAAGTTACAAACTCATGTTCAGCATTTTAAGACAGTGTTTTACTTTACCTGCATGGCATCATCGTACATTTTCCTTGCTTCTGTATCAGTCTTATCAGATACCAGCCAAGCTTTCAGCAAGTATTCATAAAAACTGTCTCCTAGCCCACCCACAGAAGTATGATCTGCATTGAAATGAAATACCAAAATTTACATCCAAAACTAGTTTTTTTTTAATCTAGCTTTACAATGTCTGTGGTAGTTACTTCAGTTGAGTGCGTAAAGTTATTCATATTGCAATTAAGCTCCAAATTTGATTAACTTTTTGAAACAAAAATATAAGAGTTCAAAGGGCAGGCAAACTGCCAAGACATACAGAAAAAAAATCCTAATGTGTTTGCCAATGTCAACTGCACATAATCAGATGAGATGAGCTGTTAATACAACTGAAAACAATCTTTTAAAGCTAGATTTAAGAAGTGTCATGACTGATCATGAAATAGAAAGAATTAATTAAAATTAATTGTGGAAAGAAAAAGTTTATGAATATGTGTACAAGTGCAATGACAACCAGAAACAACTTCTTAAAACTGGAAATAAATGTCAATTTGTTTTTGCAAATTGCATTACTGGCATCATAAAAATAACTAGAAGCGTGAAGACAGATTCATTGAGCTAGAATTAAGAATGAACACAAAAGCAATTTCAAATCTATGATTGCACTTTATGATGCATTATTAGCAATTTAGTGTGATTTTTCTAACAAAAAGTGCTGACACATGGTGGCTCGGTGGTTAGCACTGTTGCCTCACAGCGCCAAGGACTCAAGCCATGGGAAATGCATGGTTTCAGGGATAGAACAGGGTTGGGGGTGGGGTCTGGATGGGATGCTATTCTCAAGGTCATTGTGGACTCAATAGCCAAATGGCCTGCTCCCACACTGTAGGGATTCCATGATTCGATGCAGGTCAGAGTATTTGTAAAGAAGAGGACAGTATACGTGTAGGTTTTAAGAAAATTTGCTGTATTTGAATATCCTGATCCTCTATATATAGTTACAATTCCTCTGTTCTAATCATTCAGACAATGGGCAAAGGATTACTAGTTCACCTAAGGAATTATTTTAAGTTAACAATCTATTCTTTTCAGAATTGCAAACTTGCCTTGCTTAATGTTAATGCTCCCACTATGCTAACCTTCAAATGGCTTTTGGCTGCATTTGATTTAGTATTTAGCAATCTATAAAAACTGATTACTGACATGGATGAAAGACACCTTTGAAATCTTAACCATGCAATGATTGCTAACTATTAAGATGGCTACGGTCAAAGTAAGAGAGAGAACTTCGGGCAATAATTGCAGCCATAGCTGGCCTTGGCACCTGTGGCTAGGAAATTAACAGGGACCCCTGGTTTGATAAAGACAAAGATCCTTGCTGAAAAATCATATTTCAGCTGGAAGGGCATTAATGTGAAACGGTCTACCAAATTTATAAATGATAAATATGAATTGTGATTATTTAAAACAGATACTGTACAGCTACCCTGGAACTACAGTTTCATGAGTGAGTTTATCCAAGAAATGAATTAAGTTATTAATATTTTCCATTAAGCAGCAAGCAACACATCATTTGAAATGCAGCTTCATTTTATTAAGTCTTTGAACTCTCTGCATTAATGCCATTATATTATTTCCAAATACAAATTATTTTACTGATTGGCATTAGGACTTCAGCTGTAATTTTCCACACAGTATATTAATTTGAAAAGTCAAGAACTTAACTAGTTCAAATGTTAATATTTACAAATAAATGCTTCAATAATTTCGGAAAGCCAATTGTTTCTGTGAAAGGATACAAATGGGCAACAATTCTCATTGCTCCTCACTCACTGTTGCTCATTCATATTAATGCGCAGATGAATTAAACAAATCTCAAAGATAATGGATTAAATAATGGTAAGCATATGTATATGATGTAATAAAATGGCACCAAATTTCCTACTTTCAAAACTGTTTTCATTTATATTTTACAGAGTCAGTCAATATACTGTTAGTTTTTCATTTCTATTCCTTCAGTTTGCACAAAAATAGATCAAACACTTGAGGAGATATCTTAAAACTATCCACACATTTACACGACATATACAGAATGCATCACAAAATATTTTAAATAATAAATAATAATTAGCCACAGAACTAAACCAACTATAAAAGGGTGAATCTTAAAATAAATACATCAATTCAACTTTATTTTCTTTTAATCTAAACCAAGTAGTTGTGAACATGGGCTCTTGTAGAAAATGTGGTATGGATCATGAACGGAAATGTGAACAAATTAAAATATGCTAACATGAGACAAGGGTAAAATTAATTCTAACATAAGAACAATAAAGATATTTCCTTCTTGAATTTTCATTTTAATCCTTCATGAAAAATACTATAAAACACATTTTAGTCATTATTCAGTGGGAATCTTTGCTGGCACAAAAAATGTTCTAAAAACTTGAAACCATATCATTAACTCAACCACATATTAGTAAAAGGCAAGTGAGGCCTTTAAATAGTCTAACCTTGAGGCTCAGACGATGGGCACAGACAACTTGACACATGAACAGAATTTCGTGTCCACAGTTGTTTATAATAACTTCTTTCACTAAAATGTATGTCTTACTGTCAACATTACGAACAGAAAACTTAAGTAATTTGATGTAGAATTACACAGAAACTGCCATTTAGCTCAGCTGGTCCATGCCCGCTTCACGAGCCTATTTTACCTAACTCTATCAGCATCTCTGATACTTCTTTAACATCGCCTTAAATGGACTATCTAGCTTATTTTAATCTTCTTGTAATACCAGCATGAATTAATTGCACTCATTTAATAATTGTAAATTTGGATGAAAACATTTGTTGTGTTTATGTATGGAAACCACTTAAAACCCAAATTCTTGATAAACATTCTCAATCCTTGATAAAGCTTTTTCAACTTTATTCTAAAATTCAATGCAAGAATGAACTTCTTAAAAGGTTTTTGTGTAACATTATAATACAATAAGTTTAGGATACGCTTGCAAAAATGCCTTTCATTTATACAATTTATTGAAAATGTGCCTAGGCTATAATATAAAGAATACAAACTGTGCAAACAGACAATGGTTGAGGACATTACTTTCTGATTACCATACTATATGATGCTCCTTCATTTAACTTAACATAAGAAAATGTAGAAATATCTAGCATATTAGGCAGAATCCAAGAACAGAAGTACAGAGAGCATTTTTCAGTTGAATGATCTTTCTGTTGATGGGGTGAACAGCCCAAAACGAAAACCACTTCTACATAGCTGCTACTGGTTATGTTGAGTTTTATTATTTCCTGTTTTTAAATGCAGAATTCCAGTTCTATAGCTGATTGTCAAATTAAAATAGGTTGGTTCCACACGTCGAAGCTTCAGGTTGTTATGCAGACGCCACAAGGTATCATAAAAGCCTTCACTCATTGTGTTTTTAGACAAGTTAACCATCAAAGAGGTAACTGTCTCGGGTCTGCATACTAATCCTTTAATCCTGTATGGTTTAATCATTTGTATTTATATATTCCACAGAAAGACAAACCTTAAGACAAAACACAAACTACAATGGTTCTGGAATTAAGTTAGGGCAGTGTCACTGAGATAGGGCGGCACAGTGGAAAGCACTGCTGCCTTACAGCGCCAGAGAACTGGGTTCAATTCCACCCTCAAACGACTGTCTGTGTGGAGTTTGCACATTCCCCAGTGTCTGCATGGATTTCCTCCCACAGTCCAAAGATATGCAGGTTAGCATGCTAAATTATCCATAGTGTCCAGGGATGTGTAGAATGGGTTGATTAGCCATTGGAAATACAGGTTACAGGTATGGGATGGGTCTAGGTGGGATGCTCTTTGGAGGGTGGTATGGTCTCAATGGGCCGAATGGCCTGCTTTCACACTGTTGACATATGATTCTATGAGGTACCCGACAAAATGAAAATCAAGAAAATGCAGGAAGCCAAGAGGGTTCCCTGCTCAATAATCACAGCCTCTTTAATGGCTTTGACCTATGCAGACTTGGTGCTGTTTGCTACAGTTTATATGTACATATGTGCGCAATGTTCTCGAATGACAAGTCAGTAAAATAGAACTTTTAGGAATATGTCTGATAGTTCTCCCATCATTTAAGCACCTTTGATAGGATAATGAAAAAAGCTTAATGGATTTGCTAAATCTAAGGAAGGCTCATACTAGAAGCATTCAGAGGATGCTCGTTGGGTCCAAGCAAAAATTAAAATAGGCTTTAGAAACTTACATAATATAGGTCCAAAGGAACTTTCTGTGTAGAATAGATTCAGAAAGTAAAAGAAAAGAAAAGACAAAGAAAACGTATTTTTAGGAAACATCTTAGCAACCAGATGTATTCTCAAAGCACAGTACAGGAACAGTCCTGTTTAATATTGCAGCTGCAATAGACACAGTCACCAATCTGAGCCACCACAGCAAATAATTGACTCAATTTCCTTAGAATTAAAAGGCAGTAATACCTATTCTAAAAGTGATAACAATGGCTTCCAACGGGATAGTACATTGATTTAGTTAAAACATTTGTGCCTTTAATTCTTTATTTGTCTACCAAATGTGAAATTTACCTAATTTAACTACATACTACTGAAATGTTAGTGACAAAAAAAAAAAGCGACTGCAGTGAATCTGCATGCTTGGTTTGGGTAGATTAAATTGCATTTTTCATGCTGCACACTCAGCATGAAAGGTGTCCAGAGTATAGTGTATACTACACAAAATTGAGCACGGAGGTGCCAGAGTCTGATTTTCTGTCAACTAAAAGAACCGGCAGGAAAAAAAATGCAGCAGCTTCAGGACAGGTACAGGATGTTCGCTGCTTAATTATCCTCATGAAACACGTACCAAGACAATTGATAATGCATAAATGCAAGATAATCAATCCCATAATTACAGTTTCGTTGGCTGTGGTTGGAACATATTTTTGAGAAATCAGCTGTCCTCTTCCTAAGTCCACAAAAACAAATGTCCTGGGCTGTTTTTTTTTTGAAAAGAGAGCGTCCAGCATTTCTGAAGGAAATTATGAATGGGAAATAAATACTGGCCTTGCCAGTGATGCTCACACACCAAGAACAAAGAAAATAAAATCAA